GCGAGTGCGACTAATATTCAGCAGGAAACTGGAAATATCCCCTGCTCACTATCTAATGAGAAACCTTTTTGCCCAGAGGAGACCCCCTTTTCTGGTTCTCTTACATTTTGAAAGCTAAAATAAATGCACCTGCCAGAAAAGGAAGCTCTCTAGATGTTATACAGGGACCTGTTAGTCCAGTTCTGATGCCTTTCTGAAAAGGTCAGATGTCAGACAGCATTGCAAATTACGTTGAGAAGCAACTCTTTGTCTTGTATAACATTGTCGAATGTGATAGCTCTTTCAAATATAGCCTTCAAAGTACATGTCACAGTCCTATCATTTTAAATGAGTCTCAACTGCTCAGACTGCTTAAGTTCATTACCATTTACAACCAGATGATGGCACCAACTAACTGCTGCTGAACTGTATGCTGCTTGAAAGATGGTCTTGATCTTATTAGTTACTCTCTCTTTTTTTTTCTTGATGTAATTAGGTTTGGCCATACTTTGTAGCTCCTGTAGAATCAGTGCAGTATTCTTACTGAACAGTAATGCCCTTAGATGTAGGTTAAACAAAGCAGAAAATGAGTAGGAAACCCACTGGGTGCTGTTTCACAGGCTGCCTCTGCAAATGCAGGAGATCTATGTTTGTAAAGCATCCTTAAGAAGAGCAGGTAGGGTTGGAAAGGAATATTTTCAGCTTTGAAGATCAGGTCTCTAATTCTAATCTGGAAGATCATCTGCAGTCATTTGTAGTCTTAATTTCAAATTTCTTGTGGAGAATGTTTCCACATCACTTTCCAAGCAGCCTGAACCAGCTCCAGAGTCAAAAGGAACCTTTGAGTGAGGATCTGCACCAGGACTGCTGAGGTCATACTTTATTGCATTCAAAGAGCAAGAAATGGTGACTCTTAGCCCTCACATGCATGGGAAGTGTTACAAACTTGAAGGCAAGAGCCCCTATTGCTAGGTCAGTGTAGGGAGTAGATGGTTCTTAAAAGAGCTTTGCTGCAAAGGGGTAAGTTTTATACTGCCCTGTAGAGAAACTTCACAGTAGCTTGTCAGAGTAATGCAAAACATAGTTTCCTGGCTGTTTCTTCCATCAAGTCAGATCATTTCCTTCAATTTGTGATCCATATGCAATATGCAAGTGACAATCCCAAAACAGAGGAAAATGTGAAACAGGCTTGTTGTGACTTTTAACTTCAAACATTACTGCAGCACTTGAATTCCCAGGTGGTTTTCTTTTAGTCTCAGGAGTTGAGGTTCATGCCTTTTACCATCCCTTTGTTGCTTTTACTTCAAATTTAACTTGTGTTCTGTTGTGCCTGGGGAAAGCAATAGGCACTTCTTGCTCCTAACTCAGAAGTTCTAATCTACTGCCAAAAAACTTGTCTAGATTGCTAATTTATGCAAGTGTTTTATTCAGAATTAACTATCTGACAGGTAATTAGAGTTAACTGCCATTGTAAATGCAGGTTTTGGTGTTCTGTGATGTCTGTTCTGTGCTGTCTCAGGTCCAGTGGTGGGGATTGTGCATATTAACTGTGTATTAAAACTTGTATACAGAACTTGTAAATCATGAAGAGAGTTTTCATGTGCATTTATGTATTAATTATGCCCTTGTGTTTTTCCCTTTTGTCCTAGAGCTCATATGGTTATGGTGACCTGTTCAGTGAGACATGGAAGGCATTTACCAACTATGAAATAATACACTTAAAAACCTTTGACTCTAAAAGGGTATGGAATTTTGTATTTTGTTTTAATTCAGTCACTAGGTAGCAAATACAACAGCTTCTCAAGCTGCCTGTGGGTATAAGTGTTTCAGAGGAAAACATTAATACTTTCCATGAATGTTTAACTTGCATAATATGAGTATTCTACCTTAAAAACAAGAGACAGAGTTAACCTAATTCTGTGGCCTGTCTATGCTTTATATAGATGGACCAAACTTTAGTGTCTTCTGACAATTGGTGTTTGAGAATAAGTTTCACTTCTGTAGGGTCCTCTACTGAAGTTAAGGGTTTTCAAATGTTATTGTCTTTCTAAGTCTTCCAATTCCTACTGAGGTGTTTTCTTCCCCTGCAAGTGTTAGCATACTTGCTGCTTATCATTAAAAAAACTTTTACTCCCACCAAAAAAATGTGACCATTCATTCAGAGCTCATTTTAGTCTCTTAAAGCCCATCTTAAACTCTGTACTCTCTAAGTGGTTTTCTTTATTTTGTTTATAGTTGTTCCGTCTTGAGGGTGGTTTTTTTACCTCTTCCCACACTTGCATCCTAAGTGAGAGCTCTTTTGGGATCAGGATTGTCTTTGTTCTATTCATTTGCACAGTCAAGGAAGTGAAGGTGCTCTTGACAGGAGCATGTAATTGCTAGCTCATTATAAGCTGTGATCCCAGTGAATGAGCATGGGATGTGCCAGCAGAAGGTGGCAGTGCAGTATAACTTCTTGTGATCTTCCTTTGCAGGTATGCTTTAAAGAAGCAGTCTTCTCATTACTGCCTCGAATGCGATATGGCTTGTTTTATAACACACCACTGGTGAGTCCTTTTTATCTATCCACTGTGTTAACGAGGTGTGTGTGTGACAGTATAAAATCTGAGCTAATGAATCCCTCAAGTATCTAGCTGAGTTATCATGGAACGTACTGCATTGAAGGTCTGTGCAGCTCCAAATGAGATGCTCTTCCCTAAAGATTAAGATTTTGAAGTTACATTAGCTGGTTGATAGTCACTGCTTGTGTGCAATGTCCTATGTCACAGCTCTTGAGATGCGTATTATTCCTCTTTAACGGGTGGGCACTGTGAACTTACTTTTTGCAGAGCACAAAAGCTTGCACACTGACAGACTTTCCTGAGGGTATTAGCTCATGCATTCAGGCTCTAACACTGTAGAGAGAGTTACATTTCTTTCTAAATGGAAGTGCCAGTTGTGTTGCTGTGAATAGTGCCATGTTTAGCACAGTGCATGATACTGGGGTTTCGGTCCACAAGAATGGCAGAAGACTGACCACAAAGAGAGATTTTTCTGAGCAAAATAAATTTTTGCATTAACAATTGCTTCTTTAATTTCAGATCTCAGGCTGTCATGGTACGGGGCTATTTAGGGCATTTTCTCAGCATGTGTTACACAGATTAAATATCACACAAGAAGGACCCAAGGTATGATAACTGAATGATAAAGTTGTAACGCAGAGCTGATGGCTTTTGGCAGAGAAGCAGCATTAGCAAGCTGGACCCAGTGGGGAAATAAGAGCATATTGTGAACTTCTTGTCCTTTCCCGTGATGCTTGGGATTTTTTTTCCAGTCTGCATGAAGGCCTTCAGCAAACACTTGTGTATGTTGGTGAAAGTTGCCCTCGGGTCTTATTTACATAGGGCAGACTTTAGAACATCCTCCTTCCAACCCTGGGATCTCTTCCCAGTCTCCATTCTCTGTTCCCAAGGCCTTGTGTCCTGCCTAGTTAAGCAAGATATGTGGCACATGGTCTCTTCTAGAGCATGCTGACAATGTGCTGTCCTTGCAGTCCAGCAAGAGGGGAGCCGCTAAGCAATGCAGTGAGCTTGTTCTACATCAATCCTTGTAGGTACTGCCAAGCTTGGATCAGAGGAGGAAATGGTTGAATCTAGTCCTTCTGACCCTTGCCCAGTACCATCTCTCTGTCCATCTCTCTTGTACCCGCTGGTAGTCTCTGCAAATTGTTGCAATGGCTGCATTAATGGATATAGCAGTTCTGGGCTTCTTGAAGTATTTGCTAGGGAGCAGCTTATGTATTATCGCTGAGGGGCACACATTCAAAGCACTGCACAGGCATTTAGTTATGCTTCTCCTGCTGATACTAATGGGAGTCATGCAGTTAAATCTCTTTATTTCACTTGGAACACTTACCCCTGTGAGTCCAATTAATTTAAGGAGGTAAAAGGAGGAACTGTTATAGAAGTAAAATATTTTTTCCCAAAGATCTTGTGCACAAGCCATCCTAAAAGCTGCTTTCTTACTTTCAAAAACTGCCATATAATGAGTAATACAAAGGCTCTTTTGTACTGAATAAAATAAATCTTTCATAAAATGTTTTGTTCTGTGTTAATAGTCAGACTTTTGCGAAGTTTTTGACACTTGACATCTGTTGGAAAATATGATGTGAATTTTAAGGTGGTTACATCATCTGTTACATGGGGAAGGAACATGTTTTGTTGCTCAAATAACTACCGAAAGTAAATATGGAAGTGTTTGGAGTCTGCCTCATAGCAATACACTGAAGCTTCTTTCTTTTTAGGATGGGAAAATCCGAGTCACAATACTTGCACGCAGCACAGATTACCGGAAAATCTTAAACCAGAATGAGGTGGGGTCCTTCTTATTTTTAAAACATATTTATCAGAGGTTAAATTTTGCTCATTGAATTGATTATTTTTTTTTTGGGGGGGGGGTTGTAGCCAAGACATCTGTCTGCTGACAAATCTTGGACAAATATGTTCAGTGCTAATATTAATTTCTTCTACTATGTCTTTTAGGCAGTCTCTGTTTCTGTACACCAGACACTGAACCTTGCTGCCCTTTTGTAAATATCCATTGGAAGACTACAGATGTAATACTAAAAGCATTTCCCCTTAACAAACAGGCACTGCAGAGCTGCTGATAAAATTAAATTATTTCACTTTCAGAGTATCTCTCATATTTATGGCATCCCCAGTGCTGAAGACTCTAACAAAACCCTTTGTTACGCTTGCAGATTAAAATGCAGAAGCTATTGTATCTGAGTATGTGCATTCAAAACTTAATGAAATTTCATATTGATTCATGGTTTTGAATCATACAACTTAGTGGACTTGTGGTGTAGCTTCTCTTCTGGTAAAATGATAAAATCTAATGTTTTCACACTTGTCTTCATTCTTAGCTGTTGGTGCCTGACAAAAATGAATTGGGATTATCATCCCCACTGTATGGGGGCAGAAATTGAGGCTTGTTTGATGCAATAGCTCATTGGTAGAATAGACAGAGTGCAGATGGTTAGATGTATGCCTTATCTGCCTGGCTGTCCAGAGTGCTACATGTATTGTGTTTGCTGGTGATAAGCACATGACAGAAAGGGAGAAGTTAATCCTGCCTTTACTACACTTTTGTAAGAGAGAGAATACTTGGCTCTTTCTCCTTCTACTGCTGGCTATGGATTGGAGACTTACAGAAAGCCCTTTGAGGTTAGAAGCCCAGGCTCTAACCTGATTTCACTTCTCATGTGCATAGGAGTCTGACCTAGTAAGCTATTTCTGAGAATCCTTCTTTGCAACCAATTTGCTTCTTTAGGTACTGGAATGTATTTTGGAAATCCAATCACATCTTCCCACTACTGGTGGCAAAACTCCTACTAGGCTGAGTGGTTTAGGATTGGGTCCTGGAGCATGTAAAAGTCAACAGAAGCCTATGTGAGAGTGAAGAAGATCTGAGTCTCCTCTGTAGGGGTTGCTCTGCCAGGAATAACTTATGTACCTTAGGTGGGAAGGCACAAGAGGAGGGGAACTGCTCCTTTATGTGACAGTGACAGTATGTTGTGTCTCACTCATTGTCATTCCCTGCTGGGCAGTAGGAGTGTGTAAAATGGTCAGGAGTGCAGGGGAGGAATTAATTGAAGGAGATCACCAAATCATCGTCTTTTTATTCTCCTTAGCTTGTGAATGCTTTGAAAACAGTATCGACGCTGGAGGTCAGAGTGGTAGACTACAAATACAAGTACGTAAGTTGATAGAAGAACCTAGTGTGACCTCATGCTGCCTATTGCTGGGAAAGCTGTTTGCAGACAAAGCTGTATGTGCTCCAGTGTCTAACCTTTTCAAAATCCAAGAACTGGTAAGAAAGGAAGAATGTCATTCAGGGAGTGGTGGGTGAGCTAGTTAAAGACTCCCATCCTGTGGTGCGCTGCTTAGGAATGAATCTCCAGGGTTAGTAGGCTAAGGTTAAAGCTACTGTGTGATGAACAAGTTTTGAAATCACTTTTCTTCCTGTTTCCTCCCCTTTTCCAAAACCAGATGTGTTACTATCACCCTTTTGAATTTGCTAATACAGTACAGTAACTATGGGTCCAACAGGGATTTCTCTTGTATGAATCTAGTGTCTTATGTGACAGTTTGGTAATAATAATAGCTCAGCTTATCTGCTGCAGTAGTGGCCCCTGAAGACACCACTTGAGCTCAGATGTAGTAGGCACTGTGCCAGTGAGAAGTGGCTTGAAGAAAAAGTTTCCAAGTAGTGTTTGCCTGTGCCAAATGGCAGCAGCTCCCATCCACTCAATGGTGCTGTCATGGATCATGCAGGAGGCGTGAGAAACTGAAGCAGCACTGAGAGATGGGTGTTTTGACCAAAGCAGTGACAGTGTGAGGGAGTCAAGAGTTGCCTCCAATTCCCCTGTCAATGAAAGCACTTGAGCAGTCTAATAAGAAAAGGGGTGGATACCACTGGGAGGCCATCTAGACCATCCTATTTGAAAGCTTGACCAAGTGGTACTTCCACAATTCCCATGCTTGTCAAACTGTGTGTAGTATCCTTCAGTATTGCAGATTTCCACAGCTTTCCTGCGGCATCGTCATCATAATTAGGAGGATTTCCCTGGTGTCTGCTCTTGTAGCAGTTTAAGCAGTTAAGAAATGTGTGGTTAAAGCTAGTTTCTTTCTGCTCTCTTCCAAATGGTCAGAGGGGAGGTTATTCTCTTCCTTTGTAATGTATGAACTGTTTGTACACAAAAGAAGCCTGTTGTAATTTCCCTTTTCAGTTGCCAGTCTTCTCTTAACCGTTGTCTTTAGTCCATTCTTTCCTTGTGCACTCAGAGAACACCTGGTTATTTAAAAAGAATACTTTACTTGAAGCTTACAGGCAAAGGATGAGGAGTGGCAGTTCCAGGAGCTGAAAAAAGCCTGGTCTCCTTATTTCTGCTTGATGCCCTCTGCATAAGTTAAGGTTGTATATCTATATCTTTAGGCAGGATTCTGTGATACGATTAGGAATTGTATACTTTACATTAAAAAAACTTTAGGTCTGTTATGTTGTTGGGGTTTTTTAAAGGAGGTGATTCCTCTTTTTTTTAAAGGCAAGTAAAAAACTCCAGACTTACAAAAGCTTTAAAGAAAACCCTCAAATTTTTGTAATACTTTTATGATGTTTTGAAACCTGTCTGCATTTCTTTTAATTCCATGCTAAGTTATTGCTGGCTGCAGCATTTATGATTCTCGGTATTGTTCCTTGAAAAATCAGTTCTCTCTTTCAGCATTCCCTTAAGTTAATTTTGTGCTTTCTGCATGAAGCTGACTCACTGAGATGGACAGGCATGCCAGGTCACCATCTTTGTTGTGTTGTCTGCAGGGAACTTGAATTTTCAGAGCAGTTGAGGATTACCCACAATTCTGATATATTCATTGGGATGCATGGAGCCGGACTTACCCATTTGCTCTTTCTACCAGACTGGGCTGTTGTTTTTGAACTGTAAGTTTGTTTCTCTCCTTCCCCTCTATTATACACACAGCTGCTCACACCTGTTCTTGAGTGTTAATGAAGCACTCTTCCTTGCCTATATTTGACTGTCAATGTTTGTCTTGTGTCCTCGTTGAGACTTCATTTTTGGCAGCCTCTTCTTCTGGGAATTGGAAGTGAGGAAGCTTTCATTACAAAATACAGTGTAACTACATCATACAGGTTGAGTCTGTGATTTCTTAAGATGCTGTTGTGTAAGTACAATGCAGCCTGGTCAACAATTGCTCAGGTTAGATGGCAAAAAGCAAGGAAGCCTCACTGGTCAGATTCTGCTCAGTGAGTCTGAGATGCAACAGCATTTTGGTGATCCAGGTGAATTGATTGCATAAGGTACATGTCCAGGATGTTACAGATCCCCCTGAGAGTTATTTCACTCCTTTCTGTGCTCAGGACATGAGTACCAGCTTGCTGGCCAAGCTCAGCTCTATGTCATTCTTTTTTACCTAGACTTCTCTAGTAGCTTCCTTTTAAACATACTTCGTGGTAAATTGTGGTTGTTAACAGACATTCCAGTTCTGTAGAACCAAACAAAAATGCAGAATGCTTCTCAGAAGAGCACTGAATTACCTGTCCTGGGAAATTCTGCTAGAAGCCCCTTGTTGTTTTCAGCAGAGCAGAACTTGTCCATGGCTTCAGTGCCTTAGAACTGGACAACAAATGTTTCAGCTTGCCTGCGTTTTTCCTGTTCCACCCTGGTAAACTTCAGCACAATCTCTGTAGATAAATATGAGGGTTTTTTATGCCTGTCCCTAGTTACAACTGTGAAGATGAACGCTGTTACCTGGATTTGGCAAGGCTGAGAGGCATTCACTACATCACTTGGCGAAAAAGGAATAAAGTATTTCCTCAAGATCAGGTAATGATGGCCACTGCTGAAGGGTGGCGTGCTGTAACTTGAAATATTAACATTTAGCTTCCTTCACCTATCTACATTATAGTATTTGAAATATGGTTTTCATTCTTTAGACCAAATTAACTTCCCTGTTGTGATTAAGAAATCATTTATATTAATGGCTGAGGGAAGAAGAGAAATGAAATGAATTGGCTGTTAATCCAAGCCATCCATAGCATCACTGTTACGCAGTTACTTTGCTGACTTTTGCCTCAGCAGATCAGAAACAATAAATTAAAATGGCAGATGCTCAATTATTTTTCTTGCTTTTTGGATGGAAGATGTATTGAATTTTTTTCCTGTCTAAAAGGCCTTATTTCGTTTTTCTAGGGACACCACCCAACACTGGGAGAGCATCCAAAATTTACGAACTACTCCTTTGATGTGGAAGAATTTATGTACTTGGTGCTTCTGGCTGCAAATCATGTTTCACAGCATTCCAAGTGGCCATTTAGGGTAAAACATGATGAACTCTGAATTTGACTGAAATACTATTTTTAAATAATGCTCCATAAAACTATTGTAAGAACATAAAGCAAAATGCTGGTGTGAAATGTGTAAACCTCTGCGAGGGAAATAACCCGTTATTAATTTGTCAAACCACTTCTTAGCACCATAGCTTATCTTTATAATCCTTCTCTTTACTTCTGGGAGGTTTTTATATGTAAAAAACTATTTTTCAGAACTCTCTGTTTTTTTTGCACTGTAGGTTTTCATTCCAAATTCTGAAATACTTGTCTTTGTATAAAGGTTTGTCCATCCATTTCATATAGGACTTTCTAGGGTAGATACTGATGTCGTAATGATTTATGCCTACGTGTTACGTGACAAAATGCTAGAGGATGGATAGTTACATATAGATGGAGGGACTATGCTGAAAGACTGAGCTATAACTTATTTGCAGTTTTTATTCTGGTCTCTCAGTATAGTCTCTCCAGGCATGAAATGGACCTGTCAGAGCTCCTCAGTTCATCTTTTTTAAGAAGCTAGATGGTTTTTATACTATAGGTGTGTACCTGTAAATAAAGATCTGAATAGGAATTACACTACCCAGTGTGTCACTTGCAGCTGAGTTACATGACGTAGTTGTTCCAGGCTGGCTTGTTGGTTCCTTTCTGTCACAATCTGTGTCCGTGCTGTGTTTGTCCCTATGTTGTTTCTAGGTTTGAAGATCTTCCTTTGTAAGATGGTGGTTGTAAGAATGAGGTGGTTAAGTAAGCTTTAACTTTTGTTGTTTGATTCAGCAGATACCACAGACTTTTATTTCCAGTTTCAAAACATTTTTGAAGTTAGAGAGCAGTCTTTATGTTTTTGCATTTAAATGTAAACTCTGGCTCTTCTCCTTGTAGTTTTAAATGCTATAATAAAGAGGCCTCCTCAGCAGGTTTAGTCAGTCTTCTATCTCAAAACAGGTATGTCTTTTCCAAAGTGAATACTTAAAACTTACTATAATTCGGGTGTTTCCTGCTTTATCACATAAAACAGCACTCTGCAATGGAAAACCTGAGCAAATTGGAATAACACTGGAGTCTTTTTGAGGATCCTAAAGGGAATTGACTTCTATTTGTTTTATGACAAATGATAAGATGTAGAAGGTGTCTTTCAGCTGCAGATGGAAGGAAATGAAGTCAAGGGGAACCTTGTTCCTGGAGTCATTAAAAGCCTGATCTGTTAATATCCTTGTTCCTGTTTTCTCAGAATATTGAAGAGTCAATCTAGAAAACTTTTGAAAATCCTTGCAAAGCCACTAGCATAGTTCACATAGTTCACATAGTTCATAGTTTAGAGTGAAGGAAATACTAAGCCAAAGCCAAGTTCTTTATGAAATTCCCCCAGAGCTGAGATGTTCCTGCTAGTGGGGGGGGGGGAAGGGGGACTAGTTGTCTTGTTTTAAGTGGGGCCAGAAGGACGTGTGGAATTGAGTTCAGCGAGATAAAAACCAGAGTTCTGTGTTAAGTTATGGATTTTTTGAGAATGTATTCCTGTGATAGGCTTACAGTATAATCATACAGTCTCAGTGGCTTGAAGCAGAGCATACATTTGTATGCAAAAGCAAGATAGTTACTGTAAATGTAAACATTTCACTGGTATAATTGTAGATGTTAGTGACTTCCCTTCTCTTAACAGTTATAGGAAGTTTCACGGAGTGTAGGTACATTTACTGACCTGCCTATACTGGTAAAGCTGAGTTACTGTAACTTTCATATAAATCTCTCATGACCTTAAGCAGTGCATAGGAGAAGTTAGATATAGCTGATACGCAAGATGTATCTGGTGCAATTCTTAGCACAGTGCATTGTTTTACTGATGAATAAACCTGTTTTGCTTTAAAGAACCATAGAAGCAAAATTGCACTTCTTGACATGGAAAAAAAAAAAAAAAAGCCCTTGAAATACAGTTTCCTGTATTTGTGTGTGTATGTTTTTTATTTTACCTTGTGGGATTTTGAAAGAAAAGATGTGTAAAACTGAAATCAGTGAAATGTCTGAGTTCGAATGATCCAACTCAAAATAAAGAAGACATTTAACTATGAACTGTGCACAGATATTTGATAACTTCTTAAAATAAAAAGCTTTTATTTAAAAAACAAAGTGTTAAATTTTTGGTCATAGTTTGCCAAGTTTTAAAGACAAATGTTTGAAACACTGTTATTGCATAGAATCATGTGTCTGCTTTACCCTGCTGTGACAAGGTGGTGTTCTGAGGTCCAAACTGATATTCAGGTTTATTTAGCTGGGAATCACTCAGAGATAACTCTCTCGTCTTGCACTGCTGGCTTTGTTTTCAGGTGTTTTAAGACTGGGTTGTGGTAACCTTTGTGTATATTTAACTTCTTGTGCTGCAGATGATGCTGCTGAAGCCAGTGTATAAATGCAGGCATGTGCTTGGATCTGCACAGAAGCAGCTAATGAGGAGCTTCTCTTTCAAGCAGTGTTAGGACTCACTAGAGCAAGTGGTCAAACATATGCCTGAATGTGCTGAGGGGACTTAATCCAAGGGCAAAATATCCTGCCAGCATTCACCAGTTTCAGCAAATTTGAGTGTAGTGTCAACAGTTTATGGCGAACATATTCTTCAGCCTTTATGGCTTAATATTACTGGGATGAAAATGCTATTTTGGTTAATTAGCTTTACAAATAGTCACAAAATTATCTTGGCAGCAGCAGCAGGAGTTTTGGATGGATTAATGGGATTTTGCCAATGAATCCTGAGAGACAGTTTGGACAATAGCAACGATCTGTCTCGTGACTTTCTTAAAAGAGGGTCTGGGTCTGGAAACTGGAATTTGAGGGATCCATGAGACTTTAGGGCCACTTCTTCTTTAGGCAGGGTATAGCTTTGGATTGTGTTTTTCTAACAGACTATAGGAATATTTTTCCTTGCTATTTCTGGTTTGTTTTGTGTTGTTTTTTCTTTTTGTCTCTCCAGTTCAGTTTAGAGTCTATGTTTAACTGGCACATTGTCATCAACTTAATGAGTGTTGCCAATCCTGAATGCTTACAGGATTGCCTGTGTTTCATGTACGGTGTAAACTGAGAGCTGGATTTGAAATAAACCATAATTTATGGAAGCACACGGTGTCTTTCCTTTTTATTTCAGAAATCTTCAAGATGCATTTTCAGTTTTCACTTTGTAAAGTTCTGTGGAAGTTGGGTGAGTGTGAGAAATGCTTTGTGGTGGGGAGGTGGAAAATCAGGATTATTAATCTGAACATTATAATTATAAATATTAAGGCAATACATTTTTAAAAGCAATTAAATAATAATGAAGTGGTTTAATTTTTGCTGTTAATCTTACCAGTTGTACCATTACGGAGATAACTCAGGGTTTAGAATCTCTCTTAATGTTTTACTTTATTTTTTTAAGCAGGAGAGAAACTGAAGGGAATATTCTCCTTGAGAGCTTTTCATCTGCTCAAAAGGGTAAAATGTGAGGGGATAATCTTCTTTGATTTCAGCACTGAATAATGGTTTCAATTTGCAATGTTTGCCTTGAAGTTGAGCTCTTACTTCCACCCCTCTGAATGTGGGTTTCTCATGGATTGGGCTTTTTGCCTGAAAGAACTACTACTAAATACTCTTCTGGTTTTGGTCCTGAAAGTCCAGAGCAGCTTGAGTCTTCCTTTGTATATTTATTCTCATCACCCCTCTTGTGTTGTAGTTCCTCATCTGGCAGTGTGGGCATGAGGGATGCTAAGCCTGCAGCTACCGAAGTACCAGCCTCCTACTCTGAATGGGAACTGCTCCATCTGGACTGCATGGGTCAGTTGTTGTGAGGGCTCTCAACTCACTTTGGCCAAAGTCAGCTGCCTTAGTAGAAGCCTGCACTTAAAACTGTTGGCCACAGTCTTGTTTTATCTGTGGTGTGAGCTGCTCGTCTGGTGTGGCAATACTTGGAAGCAGGTAGACAGGTCTTGGTGGTCACCTTTCCATTAAAAAATCAGAGCTGGAAGAAAATGACTGTGCCAGTCTTGGTGAGCCCAGGTCTCAGGTTTATGCAGCTTCTGTATTGGAGGTGTGGAGCAATTTATGGTGGAGGTGTCTCAAAGAGTGCAGCTGATAAAAGAATTTGTGGAGGTGGGAAAAGAGATGTGCAGAGGGAACGAAGGGGGATGAGGAGGAGGAAGGAGGAACAAGTATGTGTAAAGGCTACAGATGGGTAAAATGGGCAGATAGTCATTCCCAAGCCTGAGGCTCAAAAGACCTCACAAACACAATTGTAACTCCAGCAAAGTGTGTGGAAACCCCATTGGGACAGAGCCAATAATGAGAGTAGTGAAAATGTTACGTTGTGAGGTGCAGGAGCGAGAAAGGGAAGTATCCACATTGCCCGAGTCCCAGCCAGGCGAGGAGGGGAGCAGTGTCCCCAGCCAGGGTGGCCTTTTGGGAAGAAGGATCAGGGCTGAAAAACGGGTGGTGCCTTGGGAGCTGTGCAGGACATGAGCTGGAGAGGGCAGCGGGGATTGCCACTGTCCAGTAGAGCTGACGGTGCATGTTCAAATGTGTGTTTTTAGTAGGGTGCTCTTCTCTCTTAGAAAGATGAAATATTTTTATAATACAAAAATATAGATAAAGCATAAAAATATTTGTGTACAAATGAAATCTAATTAATTATATATATATAAA